GTATTTTTACAGTCTTTATTTTACAGTTAAAATATGTTTATCAAATAAAGTCTAATGTTACAACTAATCATGGATCCCTTTAAGCATCTTAGTTATTGTTTTGAGTTTTGACATAAATAACATATTAAGACATTTAGTCATCTTTGACTCACCTCTCTACCTCATCAAGGTAACCTGACAGAGACTTTACATCACTGCTCAGCCCAACCTTAATAACATCTGACTCAGTGTCCACAGCCAGCTTAAGCCGATCACTCGGAGCATCCATGAAGTTATCAGCAAGCATTGTAATGTCCACCTGCAACATATAATCAAGTTAAAAACAATGTTCTTCATAACATTCCTGTGTGAGATGCCTTTCCTTTGCAAACACAACACAGAACAATCAGCTGATTTACATGAGAGCAGCATCAGAATGAATCTCCGTACTTGTAAGTCCTCGGTGTTGTCCTGGTAGGTGAGCAGCTCCGTCTCCTCTCCCCTGTCAGACAGCACTCTTTGGCGCAGGTGAATGGCCAGTCGCTCTTTTCCTTGAATCCTTCGAGCCAAACTGTGTTGCCCAAGAGTCTGYCTCAGACTCCACCTGTTGCCTCCTTCGGCCTCCCCTATCCTGGCCTGCAGGTGGGAGAATGGGGCACTGGGGAGCTGAGGCCGGTTGGAGCTGGGAAGAGGTGCATTTGGACAGCTGAGGTTTGAGGGTTGAGTTTGTGAGGGTTTGAGCAGGGTGGGACATTGAGGACTGGGGTGAGAGCCGACGGGGTTGGTTCCAGGGTTTGAGTTAGCGAGCTGTTGTTGGCTTGCAGGGTTGGATTTGAGTCTCTTGGCTGGAGGGGGACCTCCCTGCTCCCCCTGGGTTCCTGGTGGGGGTCTTTGTYCAGTTTGGCTCCAGCTCTGGTTCTGGTTGTCCTTTTGGCTCTCTGGTCTGTTTCTCCTCAGCTCTAAGGGGCAAACAGATTGAAAAAATAAAACAGAATCTTAAAAAGGCAAMGRYAATTTGTACCAGAGAGCAGCTGTCRACAGCACTGCCTAGCCCCTCTCACAAGGGTCATCACCAGAATGTAAATTTTTGATCTTTTGAGTTTGAGGACTGTGGCAGCTGCTTCAAGAACTCAGACAATCAAATATGTCTGCAGAACTGAGCAATGTTCAACAGCAGGTACGAAACACCATCCCTTTGAAAGAATATTGTATTAAATATGTTTTAACTCATAAACAGTTATTGAAGTGGTGCAATGGTAAATGGTAAATGGTAAATGGTACTGAACTTATAGAGCGCTTTTCAAGTCCCTCCGGACCCCCAAAGCGCTTTACACTAACAGACATTCACCCATTCACACTCACATTCACACACATGAGCAGCTTCTTATTCCTGAAACATCTCACACAGGAGGGCCAGGTTCAAAGTGTAAAGAAGTAGTTAAGAAAAGCATGTACCATCAGTTTCACATATATTTAATGAGCACCGTGAGCCTTTTACAGAATCACAGATTTTTCTTTTGGGTCCTTTGCTTGCCTTCCACTCCCACTTCCTTTTTGTTCAAAGGAACTATATTTTAAAGCATAAAATTACCCAAACRTCTTTGGAAATATAGAAACAAGGGATGTAGTATACTTCCTGTTTTTTTAAGTGCTGTCTATCCAGCAGCTGCAGCCTGTCTGCAGCAAAGTGCTGAGATAGATCAACACGTGCCAGCTGACTTAATCTGCCAATTCAGGCCCGCAAGCTAGATTTTGGTGGAAATGCAACAAACCAGGATTAAAATAAAGTTGCATGTTCTTAAAAACAAGCTACAGAGGATAACAGTCCATGATGCCATTGTCATACTAACATACAAAGCTCTCAACAACCAAGCTCCATCATATATTAAACATCTTATTGTTCCATATTTTCCTAACAGAGC